AGCTAGCTACCCAGCTAGCCAACCATATATAGCTATCTAGCCAGCCAGCCATGAGGTTAGCTAGCCAGCTAGCTAGCTAGCCAGCTAGGTGTTGGGCAGATCCTCCCCGTCGTAGTACAGCAGCAAAAACAGCTAGCTAGTTTGCTCGTCATGTAGCTAGCTAGCTAGCTAGCTAGATGGATAGCTAGCTGGCTAGCTACATAGATAGATAGGTAGATAAAGATCTCCTGACGGGGAAATAGCTAGCTATGCATGCGCAACAAAAGCCCCCAAGAGCCAGAGGCGCGGTGGCACTCGTCCACCTTTCCTATCGATATCTAGGGTTTAGGGTTTAGGTTTTAGGGTTTAGGGTTTAGGGTTTAGGGTTTAGAAGATTGGTGTTTTGAACAGGATGACTGGCGGTGGCATGCCTTCGACACAATAAAAGGATCTGATTGGCTTGGAGACCAGGCAAGCGAATAACCATGAAGGGTTTAGGGTTTTGAGAATTAGGGTTTAGGGTTTAGGGTTTAGGGTTTTGAGAATTGGGGTTTAGGGTTTAGGGTTTTGAGAATTAGGGTTTAGGGTTTAGGGTTTAGGGTTTTGTTTAGGATGCAATACAACATATGTGCCGAGAAGCTCCTCATGTTGTTCGCGAATTAGAGTCTTATGGTCTTCCTTTCTCAAGGACTAAAGACGGAAAAATCTATCAGGCAAGGGTTTAGGGTTTGGGGTTTAGGGTTTAGGGTTTAGGGTTTTGTATGGGGACTATAAGACAGGAGATGCAATAGACAACTTGTAGCTATTAAGGTGTAGTACTTCTAAAAGTCAGGGTTGGGGGTTTAGGGTTTATGGGTTTGGAGATTAGGGTTTAGGGTTTAGGGTTTAGGGTTTAGGGTTTGTATTCAGAGAGCATTTGGTGGTCAATCTCTTAACTATGGAAAGGGAGGACAGGCTTATCGTTGTGCTGCAGCAGCAGACAGAACAGGTTAGGGTTTAGGGTTTAGGGTTTGCTGACTTTAGTTAGTATCCTTTGCTATTGCTGCTGCTGCTGCGGTTGCTGCTGCTGCTGTTGCTGCTGCTGAATAAGGGTTTAGGGTTTAGGGTTTAGGTTTTCTTTAGTGTGTTTGTATCCCCCTGCACTTACGCAGCTCATTCTTTACCGTTTTTTTTGCTGTTGCTGCTGCTGCTGCTGCTGCTGTTGCTGCTGTTGCTGCTGCTGCTGCTGCTGCAGGGCATGCAATGTTGCATACATTATACGGTCGTGCCTTATCCTTTAATTGTAATTTTTTTGTTGAATATTTTGCCATGGATCTCCTCATGGAGGAGACAAACAAACAAGGAGACACCCCGAGGTGTATAGGGGTTATTGCTCTTTGTTTAGAGGATGGATCTATTCATAGATTCGCTACTAATCATACGGTACTCGCTACTGGAGGGTAAGAGTTTAGGGTTTAGGGTTTAGGGTTTAGGGTTTAGGAGGGTTTAGGAGGGTTTAGGGTTTAGGATGGTTTAGGGTTTAGGAGGGTTTAGGGTTTAGGATGGTTTAGGGTTTAGGAGGGTTTAGGGTTTAGGGTTTATAGGGTTTATAAAATATATTGAGTGTTTTTTCCGAATATATGATTTATTTATCTAAACCACCAAAAATAACAATTCCATGGTTTAGGGTTTAGGGTTTAGGGTTTAGGGTTTAGGGTTTAGGGTTTGTGTATATAGGTACGGTCGAGCATACCAGAGTTGTACATCAGCACATACATGTACAGGAGATGGAGGAGGGATGGCGGCAAGGGCTGGGGTTTGTCTACAAGATTTAGAGTTTGTTCAATTCCATCCAACTGGAATTTTTCCTGCAGGTGTATATATATAAACCCTAAACCCTAAACCCTAAACCCTAGTAAACCCTAATTTTAACAAAAATTTTAACAATAATAATTTAACACTAATTTAATAATAATTTAAATAATCATTAAACACTAATTATACATGACGTCTGAAGGTCCGATGGCGGTGGGGAAAACAACTGACAAGAGGCGACGAGGGTTTAGGGTTTAGGGTTTACGAGTTCCTGCAGGCTGCCTGATTACGGAAGGATGCAGAGGAGAAGGAGGTATCCTACGTAACAGCGAGGGAGAGCCTTTTATGGCTCGGTGAGGCAATGCTAGGGTTTAGGGTTTAGGATTAGTAGGCTCCAGGATGCATGCAGGAGAATCTAGGGTTTAGGGTTTAGGGTTTAGGGTTTAGGGTTTATTCTCTTTGCTGCAGATATGCCCCCACGGCAAAAGATTTGGCGAGTCGCGATGTCGTCTCTCGTTCTATGACTATTGAAATCCGTGAAGGTATCAGCAAAACCCTACACCCTAAACCCTAGCTCTTGTACTATTTATATGAGGAGAATAGCATTACCGTTTAGGGTTTAGGGTTTAGGGTTTAGGAATCCACCTAATAAATCATTTAAAATCACCCATTTAGAATTTAAAATTTGCAATTTAAAATTAAGGGTTTAGGGTTTAGGGTTTAGGGT